ACTCTAGTGAAAGTTTGGGAGAACTCGAAAAAGCTGTGGAAACACTAACCTGTCGGCTCATGTTCCCACAGCTTTCTCCTCTCCCCGGAGCTTCCCTAAACTTCCGTTACGAGCTCGAGATTTCTATCGCGTGATGCTCCCTCGCAAATTATCACGCACACAGAAATACAACGTAGGTGTTTTTTTCTTTATCACGCGCCTTTTTTCGGAGTAAATGAACTTTGCGTTGACACGATGCGGCATCCCTTTGCTCCAGCACTGACAGTAAAGATATAGCCTTGTAATCAAACCCACCCCACCCCCCAAATCCTTCCTTTCTCCCCCATTAGACGAAAGTGTGGACATACATGACCCTGGAACCTAACTTATTTGGTGTCTACTGGCTGAGACATTTTTTTCACAGGGAAATTTGTTAGGAAGTAGAAGGAACAGATTAAATTTTTTCGGTAACCAGAAAATTGTTTTCTCTTTTTTTATTAAAAAAAAACGTCAATTTCGTTGTTTGAACCTATGAGTCTCTTGAACTTTCAAAGACCGGAATCGAAATAACCGATTGACAGCCAACATATCAAGTTCTTTTCAGTATTCTGTGTTTGCCCATTTTCACTTACGAGTCGATTCGTGTCCTTTTTGACCATTTTGTACGTACAATTTCTCTATTTTGATCATAAAAAGAGCCGCTTAACTGTGTCTGAGGGTAAAATTTACCTCAGAGACATTTCTAAAACGTGATTTGTTCCGATCATTCACTGTGAAATGCTTTAACGGTTCAGCTGATGAGCATCACACATTTTTCAATTCCTCAACTCTTTTATTAGAAAGAAAGCAGACCCTTGGTAACAATTTAACTTCCCCCCGGGGACGACCTTCCATACAATTTATAAAGAGGACGGGAACGCTTGTCGGAAATTTTGAAAAGATCCTCTAAGAGGTACCAAGATCCTGTTTTGTGGGCGTGGCCTGAAATTTTTTCACCCCTAAGAGGTACCAATTTTAAAACAACACATTTCTCCTGTCATACTAGTTTTTCTGGGTCAATACCCTAAAAGGTATCGGAAAAACTTCCGCTGGGGACCTTTGGAGGCTAAGGCGGTTTTGGTACCCTAAGAGGTACCTAAGCTGTTTTTTAAACCACTAAAATGTACGACGATCAACCCCGTCCGTGGGAGTGGGAGATCTCCCCCGGGGGAATTTTCCCAATACTTAAGTTGAGCCTTTTACTCTGTTAATGATAGCGCAAATGAATCTACAATATTACCGTTTATACTTGAGTGTTTGGTTGAGGAGTTTGGACCTTCAGCTCTTAAAAAATTATTCCTTCATGCCAAGTTCTTGAAGATCTTAAATCCAGTGTTTGAGTTTTCGGTTGCGCATGATGTTTTGCTGCTACTACTGCAGCAGCTACGGGGATAAAATCTGTGGCCGTTGTTACCATTGTAAGTCAGCCAGGCGCGGTTAGAACTGTACGGGAATTTGAAGCCAAGCACGTCACCATATTGCACAGGGCTCCCATCATCAGCGTTCTTGGAGTAGATCTCAAAGGTGACGTACGAATAGCTCAGCCAGGCGCCCCCTGTCATGGAACTGGTGACTCTACAAATACAACGCGAGTCCAAAATCAAGACCAGTACATTTAAAGTAATTTTATTTCGTACACATAAATAAACGATGTAATCTTAGCTTAGGAATTATTTGTTACTATTTTTATCCTTTTTAACGTATTGTTAACAATCATTGTAAATGTTGTCTCCATCCTGAGGAGGTGATGATAGAACCTGGGCAGGTTACCCAGTAGCAGTAAGATGTATAACAGTCCAACCAATATTTCGAGTAGCTTCCAGAAGTGGAGGCCCACCGCAGAGCGATAGTGTCTCCACTGTTAATGATGGGATATCTGTGACCTTCGAGAGTGAAAACAGAATCATGTGCAGTTTTCACGGGCAGCGTTTTCCGTAAAGGCAGGGGATGCAACGAAGATGAAAATACTGACTTGAAATTGTACTGGATTTAATTCTTTATTTTAATGTCTTGATAGC